TCAGCTTCAAGGGCCGGAAGCGAAAACGACTGCACGTAATAAAGTGTCTCTACCACCATCCCGCGCGGCGTCTCACCGGGGAACTCGCATTTCTGCTGTACAGAACTCATTGAGTTTTCCGATGCCTCGAGATTCCAGCGGTCCTTCGGATTTCTTGCATTTTTGTTCTCGCTCGCCTGCTTTAAATACCACAATTACTCCCTACCTCCTCCCTTCTCACTGACTCTTCAGCCTTAGAATGTGAAAATGATATGCAATTTGTGACATCCAGAGAGCTAATACTTCTTTTACAAAAATTACTATTTTAAATGTATAGATACAACGCGGGCTCAGGAAATGCAGAAGGTGGTAAATTTTTGACAGCCTCACAAAGAAAAACCTACTGTTCACATTTGTTCTTTCTTTTTAATTTTTAAAAGTTAAAAAAAAGTTTATATACTGTTTTATTTACAAAGTTCATATACATTGTTTTTCCCCTGATCTTTACCATTTGCTTCACCTACTCCTCCCTCCACTCATCAAATTGTGGGACCCTATGTTTAACGCCCCCCTCTGCTCCCCACCGCCCATCTTACCCCTCTGCGCCCCCCCCCCTTGGATCCTCATAACTCACTCTACAATAATGGTCTTATACAGTATTTGTTCTTATGGGACTGAGTTAGTTCACTTAGCATAATACTCTCCAGTCCCTCCCAAGATAGGCAGTAATTTACAAAATTATTGCTCCTGCATGCTAGTAGTATTACATCCGTGTGAATACAACATACTTTCTCAATCCATTCTATTATGGTTGGACATTTGGCAATACCATTTCAGACAAGTGTCTCATATCAAAAGTTTACAGACTCTTTTTTTTTTATGGAGGATTTTTCAAGGGATGAGCATGTGTTATATAGGTTAAGAAATATGTTTCTATGTATGGGGCAAGACAGAGCGAAATTCGGATCTACTGTTTTCAGGGTTGTTATGAATTGTAGGGGACTTGATGGTATCTAACAACACTATGGGAACAACAGCTATGGAAACTGACCCATAGCTGACCCTTCGGTGGGTTTTCTGAGGCAGTTAATTACATGGAAGGAGATTGCCCATCCTTCTCCCGTGGAGCAGCTGGTGGCTCCAAGCCAGGTAATTCGGTGAAGTTTCTTGCCACTAGGCCACCAATTGTTGTTGTTATGTGCTGCCTGAACAACAGCCCTAAGCTCTGCTCTATCCTGTGCCAATCTTACTAAAATGTTACTAGAAATGTTGAGGTTAGATGTACATGTGATAAGGAGTAGGTGTCTCTGACACACCTACGCCCATTAGAGGTCCCTCAAAATTCCAAGAGTCAAGTAATATCCTTTCCTTTCATTCTTTCCCTGTCTTCAGTTTAAAGTCAGCTGTGATTACTGGATGGATTAATCAGTTAAGGATTTAACCTATTTAGCAAAAGATTGTGTAGCCTCATGCTTGATGAACATTCTAGGATGTGTGTCTTCAGTTTACACTATGTTGTTGTTGTGTACCTTGAGTTGAAATTACTTAGGCCACCAGAACTCCCTACTTTAAGTATTTTCTTATTTACCAGTGGCAAGAAACTGAGCTACAATCCCAAAGGTGTTCGAGGCCACTAGCTGTTCTGTGGGAGCAGGGTGGACAATCCCCTTCTGTGCAATTAACGGCCTCTAAAAACCCACTGGAAGGTCAGCTATGGGTTGGTTCTATGGTACACAACAACAACATTGTGATTTTAATGAAAATTACAGAAAATTTGGATTTTTATTCATTCATTGCTGCACATCTTCCTCCCTCCCCCTCCCTTCCCACTCTGCAAGTTCACTTTTTTTTTAATATCTACTCACTGTTGCACAGTTTCTTCCCTCTTCCTTCCCCTTTTCTCCTCCAGTTCCACTTTGCAATGCACTTCTTATTCCGGACTATTATCATATATATAATGCCTAATCATATATTCTTTTAAAACCATTCCTTTACTTCATTTGTTCCAATGCAGTGTTCCTTATATATCCCCTGTTTTCCTAGTTTCCTCTCAATCCTCCATGTCAGTCCTGTTTTATAACAATGGTGTTTTGCAATATTGGTCTTTTTGTGATTGAGATATTTAACTCATCATAATGTCCTCCAGAGTCATCCACGTTGTGGAATGTTTTAAGAATTCATTGTTTTCCAGTGCTGCATAGTATTCCATTGTATGAATATACCATAGTTTTTCTATCCATTCATTTGTTGAAGGGAACTTGGGTTGTTTCCATCTCTTTGCTATTGTGAATAATGCAGCAATAAACATAGGTGTGCATATTTGTTTGTTATAGCTTTACACAGTTCATTTTTAAGTCCATCTGTTTTCTGTTGTATTTTACTCTAAGTAGCAAGAAGAAACCAGGTTGATCCTTTTAGACTTTGTTTAGAGATCTTATCAGCCAGATATTCAAGTTCATCACATACAAGCTTTGCCTTCCACCAATCATAATTCAGACAAACTAATATAATGTTGTTATTGTGCACTGTAGGTGACCTAGAGCCATAATCCCATTATTGCACTGCAGGAGATTGCCCATCCTTCTCCCACAGAGCAGCTGGTGTCCTCAAACCATGTACCTTTGGGATTCCAGCCAGCTTCTTACCACTAAGTCACCAGAAAAATCCTTCCTTCATCGTCTCCCCACACGAACGAAGTTTTCTTTTACTCCTTATCACATGCACATCTAACCTCAACATTTCTAGTAACATTTTAGTATCAACACCATATATGTTCTTTAAAATGATAGAGGCACTCTGGCTCTCCTTAATTCCTTCTGAAACCTCAGGAGAATTGCCTTTGATGTCTATAATGCTACCAACAGTCATTTCAAGGCTATCTAGGCTTTTACTACTTTGTATCTTACAACTCTTCCAGCTTCTGTCCATTCCCAATTTCCAAAACCAGTTCCACATTTTAGCTGCCTGTTAGAGCAGCATAATGTTCCTAGTACCAAATTCTACCTTAGTATTCTAGTGCTGTTATATCAAAACTACCACAAGTAGGTGGTTCTAACAAACAAGAATTTACCTTTCATAATTAGGAGGTTTGATATTTGAATTCAATGTGTTGGCTCCAGAGACAGGCCTTTCTTCTCTGTTACTTCTGGAGGAAATTATTTTTCTCCTCAGTACTTGCTTCCTGGTTCCTTAGAGATCTCTGTGAGTCTTCACACCTATCTTACTCCATCTCTCTTTTGCTCCCTTGTTTCAAAGTCAAAGTCATTGACATTAAGTGGGATCCAACTCATAGCTGGGTTTCTGAGGCCATAAACTGCATGGGAAGAGATTGCCTATCTTTCTTCCTCTGAGTCACAGGTGATTTAATCTCTCCTAAATCTCAAGGAACATTCACTCAGGAGACACCTTACATTAATCTTGCCACATTAACATAACAAAACAAACTATTCCCAAGTTAGATTATAATTACAGGAATAGAGGCTAGGATTTACAACATATATTTTGAAGCACATAATTCAATCTATAACAGGGTGTATGATAGAGAAAGAGTAGACAGATGGGTTGAAGCACAGGATAGAATTAAAAAATCACAGCTAAGATCCCAATCAGTGCAGAAAAAATATTTTATTGGAGATAGTAGAGGAACTGTTCTGAAACAGTAGCCTAGAGTTGAGAGGGAAAGATTTATTCCTCAAAGGATGGAGGGTAGTTCTGCTCAGGAGTCATGACTTGAATACACTAAGGATTGTTTGTTGTTGTTGTTGTTATGTGCCATTGAGTCGTTTGCGACTCATAGCGACCCTATGTACAACAGCCCTAAACTCCGCTCTGTCCTGTGCCAATCGCACTGTCTCTGACACTCCCATCCCGATTACCCCAGTCACTGAATCAATCCACCTCATAGAGGGCCTTCCCCTCCTGCGCTGTCCCTCCACCCTACCAAGCATGATGTCCCTCTCCAAAGACCTGTCTCTCCTTGCAACATGTCCAAAGCATGTGAGACGAAACCCCAGAATCTTTGCCTCCAAGGAGTAGCCTGGTCTAACCCTCTCTAGGAGGAATCTGTTTGTTTTCTTGGCAGTCCATGGAACATTCAATACTCTTCTCCAGCACTACAGCTCAAAGGCGTCAATTCTCCTTCTGTCCTCCCTAGTCATTGTCCAGCTCTCTGATGCATAACTAGTGATTGCAAAGACCATGGCCTGTATCAGACGCACCTTCGTCTCCAGAGAGACACCACTGCTCTTCAGTACTTTGAAGAGATCCCTAACAGCAGACTTTCCCACTGCAATACGTTTTTTGATTTCCTGGCTGCTGGTGCCAAGAGTGTTGGCTGTGGAGCCGATAGGGTTTTTCTGTCACAGAGATATTTTTCTCTTAATCTGAGAGGAGGTTTTTGTTTGCACTGTAACTTGGGCTCCTACAGGAAAATGAGAGGCGTTGGGGAGGGACATTTATTAATGAAGACCAAACCAAAATGAATTGGAAACTGATATGACATATTAGTCGCAGGAGAGGAAAAGCTTTATGATGAGAAATTTAGACAACATGATTGGACTCTGTTCCTAGATGGTGTTAATAAAGAAAGAATGTGTGTGTGTGTGTGTGTGTGTGTGTGTGTGTGTGTGTGTGTGTGTAGGAATGTTTATGTTACTGACTAAAAAGCATTACACTTTCTCCATTGTCTAGAGTTATCCCTCTTTAAGATATCAAGGCATTCTTACCATATTTATGAACAAGTAATGTTCCTATAATGAATATAAAATTTGGCATTTTTTATGGAGGTCAGAGAATTCAGAGTTTCCATTCTTTTTCCCCCTACAAACTCTTATAGGAAGATAGCAGCAATCCCTAGACCCTAAATCTACTCGGTGCATGTTGAAAATATTGACAGTATTGAGGCAATTTATTCAAGTAGAGGCCATTTAAGAGGAGAGTGTGATTAAAAATAGATGGTTATTTTTTAAACAGATCTGTAGGTGAGAGGCAAGATGGCATCTTTTCCCTGATTCCTGGTCTTCCTATTCATTTCTCATTTTCTTCAGGTACTCCATGATGTCTGCCTTGATGGTGCTGACTGGAGCCCGATGGTGCCAGCGCATGACAGGGACTCCATCTGGTCCTACCAGGAACTTCTCAAAGTTCCAGCGTATGTCATGGACCTTCACTGGCTCCCAGAAGATTTGTCTGCTTGAGCCCAAAATCTCAGAAGGGTGAGGACAGGAACGCTAATAATGAAATGAAATGAAATGAAATGAAATGAAATGAAATAAAGAAAAGAAAAGAAGACATGACAAGATCATTCTTGCTCCTGGGTCAATCCAGCCAGTTCCTATAGGTAATCTACTTCCTCCTAGATACTCTGTATCTAGATACTCTAATGTCCCTAGATACTCTAATTTCCTGACAAACATTATAAATCCTCCGAATCAAAACCATTCCAATGAACAAAAGTCTCAGAGAGGATATTACAGCCATATTTCTGTGCTCTGTTTTCCTCTTGCCTCTGACACACAGAGTTATAGGTATATTGTATCACTCATTGCCACTTTTGGTTTCCTTATTTGGAAAATGAATAGCTTAGGTTTGAATGTGGTTTCCCAGGCCCTGGAGCTCTGTGGGCTAGTAACATATCTAGTAAATATCTTTTGGGATCAATATAGAGTTGCCAAAATTTGTTTTGTCAAATGAGAAAAATATTTAAAACAGCATGATTTTATCTGTTAATTAAAAACCAATATAAGAATAAACTGTGTAGGTAAGAATAATCCTTAGACTGAGAATGGTGAGATAGTTTCACTTTGGGCATGTTATCAGGAAGGCCCAGTTGCTGGAGGAAGTTACCGTGTTTGGTATAGAAGATGATCAGCAAAAATGAGGAAAACCCTCAGCAAGATGGGTTGGTACAGTGGCTGCAAAACTGGGCTCATGCCTAGCAGCAACTGTGAGGAGGCAGGATTGAACAGTGTTTGGTTCTGTTGTGCACAGGGTCACTATACATCAATAAAAGGTGGCCTTTTAGACATATTGAGTTTCTAAAACTCTTCTTACACTGTCCTATTTTCCTCAATTTAAAGAGGACATATTGAAAATCCCAACATAGACGAGTCTTAGTCTTGACTTCAGCATTTAGAATCAATTCACTTTGGTGATCTTTTGGAGTGTTTTTAGCTCAGAAATTATCTTTATCTAAAAGATACTGTTTCAGAAAAAACAATACTATATTATATTCTATCTGTTGATCTTTATGACTCTCTAATATAAATTTGTCAAGAGTACAAATGTTTTATCATAGTTTTATTTTTATCATTTATCAAAAACTACCTTGTAGATGGCAGACATTCAGCACATGGATCTTGAACGAGTTAATGAATCCCAACGAGCAAGAGAGGTTGATCATGATAAAAGCTAACAGTCTATTTAACCCTGCAGTGTTACCTTAAAAATTGGCTTTCCTAGCCATTACATGAGTACAAAAGTACTCAGGAGCAACAGTGTCTCTCTGGAGACTAAGGTGCGCCTGATACAGGCCATGGTATTTGCAATCGCTTGTTATGCATCAGAGAGTTAGACAATGACTAGGGAGGACAGAAGGAGAGTGGATGCTTTTGAGCTGTGGTGCTGGAGAAGAGTACTGAATGTACCATGGACTGCCAGGAAAACAAACAGATTCATCTTGGAGAGGATTAAACCAAGCTACTCCTTGGAGGCAAGGATTCTGGGGCTTCGTCTGACATACTTTGGACATGTTGCCAGGAGGGACGGGTCCTTGGAGAGGGACATCATGCTTGGGAGGGTGGAGGGACAGCGCAGGAGGGGAAGACCCTCTATGAGATGGATTGATTCAGTGACTGGGGTAATCGGGATGGGTGTGTCAGAGGCGGTGCAGTTGGCGCAGGATAGAGCAGGGTTTAGGGCTGTTGTGCATAGGGTCACTATGAGTCGGAAACGACTCGACGGCACATAACAACAACAACAAGCCATTACATTAGGCCCCTATGGTCTTCAGCTACCTTTATTGCAGACACATGGTCTTGCAAATTATCAACAGGTGTGGGACTAGAATAAGAGACCATGCTTCCCTGGAGCAAGACACTGGTGACAGCAAGATCCTGGTGGTGAGACCTGGTGATGGGGTGGAGAAACTGTGGCGAGGACTAAGTAGAGAAGGCTGGATATAAAAGCCAGTTAAAGGTTTTGCTGTTCTTGCTGGGTGATTGAAGGCAACGCTGGTTTTTAATTTGCTGGATGATTTGGATTTGACTGCTGAACTGAAACCAGGACATTTTTACTAATTAAGGAATTGTGTTTTGCTGTTAATCTGGCTTGGGATGGCTGGACTAAATCGAGACTTGTACTATGAGATATTCTTTACCTTTTTCACTCCCTAACCTATTTCCCCTTTAGTACCACATCTGTAAGTAAAGTCTGTGAGTCAACAACAAACATCAAACCTCTTGCGACAGGGGCTCTTTTCATTCCCTCTGGTCCATTCAGAGATACACTGCATGGTGGTCCTGTGCCCCTATGTCCCATTATCTATTCCTTTCACAAACTTTCTCCACTATATGAAGCAAAACCCAAACAAATGATAAAAACAACAAAATACACAAATCAAATACACCCACTGAGTCAATTCTAATTCATGAGGATCATATTATGACTAAGTAGAATTGCCTCATAGATTTTCCAAGGATGTAATTTTTCCAGAAGCTTACTGTAATAGCCTTATTCTAGAGAGTAACTTGTGTACTCAAACCACCAACCTTTAGGCTAATAGCTGAGCACTTAACCACTGCCTTACCAGAACTCCTCCATATGACACCAGAGCCCCTTACATACTAACAGATGAAACCTAGATTTCTATGCTGATCTGAAGTTCTTTCTCCAAAGTGTCAAATCTTGTTGTTGTTGTTGTTATGTGCCGTCAAGTCGTTTCCGACTCATAGCGACCCTATGCACAACAGCCCTAAACCCTGCTCTATCCTGCGCCAACTGCACCGCCTCTGACACACCCATCCCGATTACCCCAGTCACCGAATCAATCCATCTCATAGAGGGTCTTCCCCTCCTGCGTGCAGAAATAAGCACTTGGGCCCACATCAACTCAATGCTAGGAATGTTAAGGAAGAAGGGACTATATCAATAATTCACTCACCTTCAAGAATGTGAAGATTTTCTGTTCTTGTTCACCATTCACATCCCCTTTTTCAAAAAGGTGGAAATTAGGTACAAATCCACCGCCTGGGCGAACATACCTGCAATGAGCCATAATGTTCCCAAGGAAGTTCCAGCATATGAGAGAGATAGTCTTATTATAATAAGACACCATGATTTGAGATTATCAGAAAAGAGTGAATATGTAGTGGATGGGGGAATGAAGAGGGAAAATATGGCCATATTTGACTTTGATTTCTAGAATTCATTGTTTCTGTTCTGTTCCCTGTCTTTGTCCCACCCACTATATTGGTATTAATTATTGCTGTGCTCCTACTGTTTCTTGGAGAGAAGGGCCATTACTCATGGAGGGATGGAAGGATAGTTCTTGGACTTTACTCTCTTTAAGGCATGCTAAAGTTAATGTGAGCTGTGAATTCTCTGAGATTACTGATCCGCTACTCCACTTCACCCCACTCCAGAAGTTCTCAGTATGGAAAAAGTAGACAGGAATTTCTTACAGACTTTCAAGCAGTCACTCACTGGAGTCCAGGGAGGATCTCTGAATTCTCGCCTGGTTCTTGCTTTCCAAATTGGTTGCAAGGAAAACCCAAAATAACCAGGCCAAAGGGCTTCATCTCCTCTTGAAGAGCATTTAGTTCTGTAGATAGAAAATACACAACATTATGCCCTTTCTTATGCAGAGGAAGATTTTTGGAGTCACATATCTTCCAGACAAAAAAATCAAAGCTAGAGGAGGGAAAATATAGATTAAGGAGACTTGTTAGTGGCAGAGCTAAAGCTAGATCTCAAATCTCTAGACATGCCCTTTTTATTATTATAGTGCAGCATTTCCCAAATCTGCAGTATATGGGGACCTAGGGGTTTGGGGAGAGAATAGGAAAAGAGTGGATAGATAATGAATGTGCATTGGAACAGATGAAGGGAAGAACTGTCTGAAATAAATATATGATTAGGCATTTATATATATGACAACAATCTGGAACAAGAGGTGCACTACCAAGTGGACTAGGGGAGGGAGAATAAAGAGGAAGGAGAAAAATGTGCAACAGTGAATGAATTTTTAAAAAATAAAACTACTTAAATGAATTGTCCGAAACAAACGAAATAACAGGAATGCCACAAATAAAATATGATTTGTGTGATTTAATTGAGAGATTTTCTTAATTCTATTTCTTTGAAATGGAGCTCAGTCATCTCCACCTTTCTGAAATTTAAACCAAACCTACTGTTACTGAGTTGATTGCAATTCATAGCAACCCAATAGGACAGAACAGATCTGTGCTGTAGGGTTTCTGTAAAGGCTGTAAGTTTTCACAGAAGTAGCCTGCCACACACACCTTTGGCACCATGAGAAGGCTGAGGGGTTCATGATATCAACCTTTGAATTAACAGCTGAATATTTAGCCACTGATCCCACCATCATGACTCTGTTCAGAGTATGTGTGTTGTCTCTCATTGCAGAACTGAGTCATAGCTGACCCTCCCCTGGGTTCCTAAGCCTGTAAGTTGTCTATCTTTCTCCCAAGGAGCTCAAACCACCAGAGAGGGTATAGTATTTCAGTTAGCAACACAACTCTCTGTGGATCAGGCCACCAGAGTGCCCTTTTCAGAGCTCACCACGTGACCTTTTTAAGGCCAGGTTTTTTTCCTAAAAAACACCTTTAAAAAAAACAAACACCTTTTTCTTAAAAAAATTATTTTATTTTATTATTTTTTGGGTGTACTGTCCAATCAGATCTGACTGGTATAGGAGGAGATTGCCCCTCCTTCTCCAGCAGAGCCTCTGAGGGTTTTTTTTCCCTTTTAAACAAAGATATTATTTTATATAAACATTCTGTTACATAGCATATCTTTGGTTCCCCTCCCCCTTATTCCTTCTTTATGTTGTGTGTTTGGTTGGTGTTTTTATGATCTCTGACACAGCTACTCATATTGTCTTTCCTGCAACCATTAATTGTGCTATAGTAAAAGCAACTCTGTCTCTCACTGACATACAGTAGGAACCAATTCATAGTGAACCTTTGGCACGTTCCTAAGGCTATAAATTGCACAGGAGGAGATTGCTAATTATTTTTTTCCAAGGAGCCACTGGTGGATTTAAATTGCCAGAGAGACTCAGTCTTTAGGTTAGAAGCACAACTCTCTGTGGGCTACTGCCACTAAAGCTCTCTTAAAAACAACTGTAGGCACTATGCAAACAAATAGGCATGGTTGTGTTCCAAGAAAGCTTTGTTTATATGAACAGGCAGGCTGAATTTGACCTCTGGGCAATAGTTTGCTGATTCTTGGCTTAAGGAGATGAAGTCATATGATCATGAATATTTCTTTTAATAAGTAATAATTCAAATAAGAATATACTACCAATTTAGACTTAGAGTCTAAACTGATGACTAATCTACAGGCAGAAGATTGGCGCATGAATTCTTACCAGAATATTGAGCTGTCAGACCACAATAGGTGGCCACGTTGACAAAGAGGACGTGCTTGCCAGCATACTTCTTGAAATGAATAAGCTCCTTTCCATTGAGGGTGATAGCATCATAGTCATAGATTGTGTCTTTCACATCTTTGTAGCAATTCATCTGGGGAGAAAATATTTAAATGATAATAATAATAGTAATAAAAGGTTTAAACATGTGTATAATTTTTCGAAGGACTCAAATGATGATACATGTATTAACTGAGACCTAGAAAACAAGAATTTTCCAAGATGTCAGCGACAGGACTGAAACTTTAGCTTCTGATTTGAAATCTAATAATGGCAATAGGCAAGTTAAGCATCTCCCTATTATTTCCAAAAGATTTCCAGGAAATGCATGAATGAGTGAGTGCAAACAAGTGGGAAGAGATTTGGACTTAAGTAGGGGTAAAGAGAAAGACAAATTGCCTTTAATGCTTTTTGTTAAATGACTTCTGAAGCTCAAAGGCTTCACACCCAATTAAATAGTACTGTTGTCGTTGTTGTTGTTGTTGTTGTTGTTGTTGGTTATGTGCCATTGAGTCACTTGCGACTCATAGTGACCCTAAGTACAACAGCCCTAAACTCTGCTCTGTCCTGTGCCAACCTCACTGTCTCTGACACACCCATCCCGATTATCCGTCACTGAATCAATCCACCTCCTAGAGGGCTTTCCTCTCCTGCTGTCCCTCCACCCTCCCAAGCATGATGTCCTTCTCCAAGGACCGGTTTCTCCTTACAATATGTTCAAAGTACGTTAGACGGAGCCTCAGAATCCTTGCCTCCAAAGAGCCACCCGGTTTAACCCTTTCCAGGATGAATCTGTTTGTTTTCTTGGCAGCCCATGGTACATTCAATACTCTTCTCCAGCACCACAGCTCAAAAGCATCAATTCTTCTATCCTCCTTGGTCATTGTCCAACTCTCTGATGCATAACAAGTGATTGTATCAGACGCACCTTAGTCTCCAGAGAGACACCATTGCTCTTCAGTACTTTGGAGGGGTCCCTAACAGCGCAGACTTTCCCATGGCAATGTGCCTTTTAATTTCCTGGCTACTGGTGCCAAGAGTGTTGACTGTGGAGCCAAGCAAACTAAAGCCGTGAACAATCTCAATCTCTTCACCATCCATACTGATGCTTCCAATTGGCCCAGTGGTGAGAATCTTTGTCTTCTTGACAGTGAGCCTCAATCCATACCAAAGGCTGTAGTCCTTGACCCTCTGCAGCAAGTGCATCAGGTCCTCCTCAGTTTCAGCAAGCAGGGTTGTATCATCTGCCTAATACAGATTGTTGATTGATCTTCCACCAATCCTGACGCCACACTTCTCCTCATAGAGCCCAGCCTCCCGGATGATCTGTTCTGCATACAGGGTGAAAAGATAAGCGCTAGGGAACATAAAAGGACCCCTGGTAATGTAGAGTGTAAAGAATATATCAGGCTATCAGGAAGTTAACCATTCCCCTCCTATAAAAATGTCAAGATTTACAGATTCAGAGAGTAGATGATGAGTCAGGTGGAATTGCCACTATAATGGCAGTGAATTTGAGGGGTTTGAGTTTGGATAACATACCAGTTCTCAAAAACAGGAAGTCATTTTGGAGCCACCTAGTCCACTTCAGGGGAGATGAGTGTTACCAGAGATGCCTTTTTTAAAAAAACAAAAAACACCACCACAAACCCATCAACCAAACAAAACACCCCAAACCAATTGCCACTGAATCAATTACAACTAGTACCTCTAATGGCCTAGTGGTAAGGAGCTGTGTTGCAGTCCTAAAGGTACATGGTTCAAATTCGCCAACTGCTGCTTGGGAGAAAGATGGATAATCTCCTCCCACGGAATTTACTGCATGTAAACACTTGCTGGAGTGTTAGCAATAGTTCGGTTCCAACTTGACAACACACAACAACAAGTAACCCTATAGGACAGAGGAGAATCCTCCTTAAGGTTTCTAATGCTCTAAATCTTTACAAAAGAAGTGTGTTCCATCTTTCTCCATCTGAATAATTGATTGGTTCAAATCACTGATCTTTTGGTTGGCAGCCCAATTAATGCCTTTACCACCATTGCCACTAAAGCCCCTCTGCCTCTTACGGGGAGGGGGGAGTGAAGATATGTTTAATTATTATTAACAACAGACTTAAAAAGAAAGTAGAAGCTAGCACGTAAGTTCCAAGACCCAAAGTAATATAATCCTTTATATGAATGAGAGTTTGCCTGGTCTTAATTTCATTACTTTCCCTTACCCCACTTCTCAGTCGCCAAGTTTATTGCTATTGCTCTCTCCATTTTCTTCTCATTACCATATATGTACTTTTTTTTTTAATAAGTCACCAGTGTTTCAACTGAGACTAGAAGTGAGACCAGAATCTAAGCTCTTGACTCCAAATGCAGTTGATTTAGGGCTCTGGTTCTTTATTTCCCCAAGTGTTTTATGCTTCTCTGGTAACTTTCTGTATTCCCCAAATCGGAACATTAGTTTTATCCTCTTTTTAGTGTGTAGTGTGTTTCACACTGAGGAGCTCTCTGGGATGACAGAGATGAGCATCTCTCTCGTCCAGATTCTGGCCTCTCCCTCTTTGGTGAGCCCATTGCTGGCTACCTAGATCTTCAGACCTATCTCTAACTCAGACACTGCTGTAGCTTGCATGTAATCACTTGGCCAGAACTTGAGGAAGAAAGGAAGAAATACATACAGTGAAAAGACCTTCTCCCTTGGCCATATTGAACTCAAGAAAAATCCATTTGTAGATGTGAAGAAGATTTAAGGAAGAAAGAAGAAAACAGAGGCCTGAACCTTACAAGATGGACAGAGGGGAGAACCCAGAGGCAGGATAGAAGAGTTACTCAAAGTTTGAGCCCCTCTTTGCCTTCTTTGGAGGTCACTCACTTTCATCTTGGCCTTGGGATCAGGATTTACGAAGCTGGTGAAGAGAAGAGGGAAGAGAAAGGAGGTCCTTAATTGTCCAGTCATGGCTAGTGTTTGTAGATCTTGTGCATGTGAAGTCCATGTGCACATCCACAGCCTTATATACCCTGGTAGGGGCCACTCCAACTCTGTGCTAGCCAATCACGGAGTGGCAAAAATTGCTGAGACCTGTGTGGGGTGAGAGGACCCAAGAATTCTAGCCATATTCTCACCCCCACACGCCCCCATGAACACTCAGCATTAATCAGTATTATTAGGCTCTGGAACCCATATAAATATTGGCAAATTTATGAAAAAGGCAAGGTAAACACTCATTGGTTCATGAAGACTTTTGCCCAGTTCTCTGAATTGAAGAATAAAAGAAAAGTAGTGGAATGTCTGTGTAGACATTGCAACAAAGCTACTGGAAGAAGACTGAAGAAGACATTCCAAAGACTTTTCTGAAACAATTATTTGAAGTTAAATATATCAAAGAATAGATTTCTTTGAAGGAGTTGAAAGAAAACTGACCTTAAAGGAAAAAATATTCCCAATATATATGAGGAAGATAAGATCAATATATTAATGATATAAATGATCCAAATTTGCTCAAGTATTTATAAACTAGTAAGAGGAAAATAACTAACAAAAAATGGGTAGCAGACAGAAAATTAAATGGCCTTTATGGTAGGATGCAATGTTCTCTCTCACCATTAATCAAAGAAGTATAAGTAAGATGCAATACTCATTTATCAGATTGGCAAAGGATAAAAGGAGTGGAGATAACCAAACGGGCTGCAGCCTGTTATGGGAAGCTTTTATACTCTGGTGGAGGTGGGGGCTCTTGGAAGAGAAAGGTGATAAGACCAGATACCAACTTTCTTGGAGGATAATCTGCCACTATGAATGCAATGCTTTTGTTTGGATTTTTTGGGTGTTTTATTTTTAAATAACTATTTAAAACAAACCCTCCAAAATTTATAGGAAGTTTCAAAGATAGAAAACAGTGATCTTATTATATACACTTCACCCAGTTGCCATATTAGTTACACTTCAACACAAGAAAAGCACAATATAAAAACAAAACTCAGACTCATTTCTGTTGAGTTTGTTCTGATGCAGAATTGATCCTTCAGTGAGTTTCCAAGTTTGGAAAATGCACAGGAGGAAATTGCTTATGCTTCTCCCTGGGAGACCCTGGTGGATTAAAGTTGCCAAAAAGGCACCAGTATGGATTAGTAACACACTTCCTCTGGACAAAGCCACAAGAGCTCTCTGTATAAAACAAGGCATTTATGGCATAGTCTATAGCATGTTGAGCTGCTAAACAAAGACTTTGCCATTGGTAAAACATATATATAGCTTCATGTCATCTTGTCATATGTGTTGATTAGTGAAACCACCATCAAAATCAAGATGCAGAATTATTCCTTCACAAAGATCTCCCTATCACTATTCTTTATAGTTTCAAGAACCCTTTCCCCTAAAAGTCCATAACTTTGGACTTCAAGAAATGTCTCCTGAACTAACTCAGTCTCATAAAGACAAATACTATATAAGACCATTGTTATAGAACAAACGAGTACTAGGATCCAAAGCAAGGAGGGGGGAGCAGAGGGGTGAGGATGGGCAATGGGGGGTGGAGCTTAATCATAGGGTTATACGATTTGGTGGATGTACAGAGTGGTAAGTAAAGAAAGGGAGAAGGATCTGGTACGAAAAACCAATGTATACAAACTTTGTAAGTAAACTAGTATAAAATAAATGAAAAAGATGTCTCCCAAGGAAATCAGAAAAGCAAATATTAATGTATGTAAAATAGTGTTTGTTACACCATTGTTTTTAAAAGTAGAAATTTTAAACCACATTAAATATATAGTTAGTAATTTTATAAAAATTAATGCTATATCTGTATTATATAAATCTATAACATGTTATAAATGAACCAGAATATCAGACCAGACTAAATTAATTGCTATATAGTCAATTCCAACTCACAGTGACTCTGCATCCTCATAGAATTTCCAGACTGTAATATTTATGGTAGCTGACAGGCTTATCTTTCTCTAAAAGAGCCGCTGACACTTGGGATTCTATGACCTTCAGTTAGCAATCTGGCACTTAACCATGAAGCCATTATTGGAAGTCCTTCTAGGAAATCTAGCACATGATTATATACTACCTGACTTTACTCTTTCCCCCTACTTAAAAGAAATGTAAAAGGATAACTTCTATGGCTTATCTAGCAACCACCTCTTAAGTAAATCATGAGTCATAGTGACCCTATTAGCAGATCTGAACCTTGCCCTAACCTGCACCATCCTCACCATCTTTCATACACTCGAGCTCGTTGTAACAGTCACCAGGTCAGTCTATATTGTTGAAAGTCTTCCTTTCTTTCTCTGACCTACTTTTCCCAGCGTGGTATCATTTTCAAGCCTTTTCTGATAACGTGCCCAAAATACGTGCAATGAAGTGTCACCATCTTTGCCTCTAAAGAGCACCTGGTTGCATTTCCTACAAAAGAGACATGCTTGTTCTTTTGGCAGTCCATAAAAGAGTCAGTACTCTTCACCAAATCACAATTCAAAGGCATCAATTCTTCTTCAGTCTTCCTTATTCATTGCCCAACTCTTACACACAAAGGATTGAAAATATATTTTTCAATTATTTCATAAGCATCTGATTTATCAAACAACCACCTGAGAGGTTATTCGGTTTAATTTAGAATTAAATGGTTTATTTAGAATTTATCTGGGGAAATCCAGTTATTCTGTGGTCCTAGAGTTTGGACTAATATGTCTAACACTCAGTTAAATGCTCTTTCTAGCAGAATATAGTTCGTTTTCAATTGAAAAAGTACTCAATCAGAGGAGGACACATTTGAAGTTTGTTAGCTTAGCCTTTAATTCAGAAAATATTCATTGTTGCACTCTTTTCTCCATAGATTTTTTTATTAAATATTTTTTATTATTACTAGTTTATTTACAAAATTCTAATACATTGTTTTCCAGAACAGATTCTTCTAATTTCCCTCACCTACACACATCAAATCATACCACCCCATGATTAATCTCCCCCGCCCCTTGCACATCCTTAAACCTCTGCTTCCAACCTCCCCCTGGATCCTTATACATATTCTACAATAATGGTTTTATGCAATATTTGTCTTTGTGGGATTGAGTTAGTTCATTCAGCATAATGCTCTCCAGTCCCTTCCAAGTTAGGTAATAATTTACAAAATCATTGCTCCTGTGTGCTGTGTAGTATTACACCGTGTGAATGTACCATAATTTCTCAATCCATTTGTTTGTGGCTAGACATCTGGGCTGTTTCCTTGTTGTTGCAATGGTGAATAATGTTACTATGAACATTGGTGTACAAGTATCCGTTTCTGCCTCAGTTCTCATTTTCTCAGGGTATATTCCAAGTAGTGGAATAGCTGGGCCATATGGAATTTCTATGTTCAGCTTTTTGAGGAATCACTACACTGCCTTCCAGAAGGGTTGTACCATTTTACAAACCCACCAACAATGTATAGTGCAAGGTGTAACAATGTAAGGTGTAAGGCAGAGTCAGAAAACTCACACTTAAATGAGGTTGGAGTCTTAATAGAGAGCAATAGGAAGGTGATAAGCAATAGGGCACATATACATGGAAATTGAATGCATAACTAAGATGCATTAATAATAATGGGGGACTGGAATGTAAAAATTAGGAACAAGAAAAAAGGATCAGTCATTGGGAAAAAAATGGTCTTGGTGACAAAAATGAGACTGAAGAGAGAATGATAGAATTTTGTACAATCAATGATTTATTCATTGCCAATAATTTTATAATAAACACAAATGGCAGCTATACACATGGACCTCACCAATGGTCAGATGTAATCATATTGATTACATTTGTGGGAAGACTCATTGGAGAAGCTCAATATCAGCTGTGAAAACTAGACCAAGTGCTGATTGTGGAACATACCATCAACTACTTATAAGCAAGTTCAAACTGAAGCTAAAGAAAATAAAATCCCATCCACAAGAACTGAAATTTGACCTTAAGTCTATCCCACATGAATTTAATATCCATCTCAAGAAGAATTTTGAGGTCTTGGACACTAGTGAATGAAGACCACATGAACGATGGGACGATATCAAGAAAATCAGCCATGGCCAATGCAAAAGACATTACAAAGATAGAGGAGGAAGAAAAGACAAGGATGAATGTCAGAAGAGATTCAGAATATTGCACTAGAATGGCAAGAAGCTCAAGCAAAGGAAAGAAATCAGGAAGTTAAGGAGCTGAACAGAAGATTTCAAAGGGCAGCTTGGCAAAACAAAGCAAAGTGTTATAACAAAATGTGGCAAGAGCTGGATTCAATGAATCAAAGGGCTGAACTCGCTCAGCATTTCTTAAACTGAAGGACCTAAAGAACAAATTCAAGTCTTGAGTTGCAATACCTAGAAATTTTGGGCAGAATATTGAATAATATTGGATGCATCAAAAGAAGATGGAAGGAGTACACAGAGACACTACCAAAAACAATTGGCTAACACAAAAAAAATTCATGAAACAGCAAGACCAAGAGCCTACGGTGATGAAGGAGGAAGTTCAAGCTTCTCTGAAGGAGTTGGCCAAAAAACAAGGCTCCAGAAACTGGTGAAATCCCTATTAATGTATTACAACAAATAGATGCTGCCCTGGATGAGCTCACCAAGTTGTGCCAAAAATGTCTAGAGGACAGCTACCTGGCCAACTGACTGGAAGAGATCCATATTTATTCCCATTTCAAAAAGAGTGACCTGACAGAGTGTAGAAATTATTGAACAATATCGCTAATATCACATGCAAGTAAATTCTTGCTGAAGATTATCCAAAAATGACTAGAACAGTACATCAGCAAAGAACTACCAGAAATATATGCTGGGTTTAGAAGAGGCCGTGGGACTAGGAACATCATAGCCAATGTCAGGTGTATCTTGACCCAAAGCAGAGTACCAAAGGAATGTCTAGCTCTGTTTCATTGACTATGCAAATAAATTTGACTGTGTGGATCATAACAAATTGTG